TCAACACTGCTTAATCTCTTTTCTAGTTTTGCAATTTAGAGTGTTGAATTGTTCACTTGTTTCTAGGAGGTCATCCTTGTCTTCTTCAATTCCAATTTCTTTGCATGTGACTTTCCACAGCACTCTGTAAGGTAACATAGATGTCATTGATCTACAGTGCAATGTCTTCTTTTTAACTCTTGTTACTGGGGAGTTCACTCTTTTAGTTTGGATTAGGTGAAAAATGGTTCATCAGTACTTTTGTCTCTTCATAGAAAGAAGTCTGTACATTGACTCATTGTATTGTCTTTGAGTCTCTATTTCATTCGTTTTTACACAACTTTTATAAAATCTTTTTTTTTAAGATTTATTTATTATGTAAACAATGTTCTGCCTGCATGTATGCCTGCAGGCCAAAAGAGGGCACCAGATCTCATTACAGATGGTTGTGAGCCACCATGTGGTTGCTGGGAATTGAACTCAGGACCCCTGGAAGAGCAGCCTGTGTGCTTAACCTCTGAGCCATCTCTCCAGCCCTTATAATTCTTTCTATGTACTATTTCAGATTGACTTGTTCTTAATGCTCATAAACCCTGAGCCACATAATTATGGACAAATGATTTTACAACAGGGACATTGCTGCCAAAACTTCCCAGTGTATCTTTGTCATCCCACTCCTGTGTCACTGTTTTTCATGAGCTGATACTCACCCTGACACTCTAAGAAAGTGTCCTCAGTATTCCATGAATTCTGCCTGACTGTTCATTGGTTTGTCTTCACTATAGCTATGTAAGGAACAATAAAGCAAGTCCTGCAGAGGTGGCTCAGCAGTTAAGAGCACTTTTTGCTCTTGCAGCTTCCAGGTTCAGCTCCATGTACTTGCATGGTGACTTCACTCAGGTTCCAAAGGATCTAGTGCCCTCTTATGGCCACTGCAGGCACTTCATGCACAAGGTGCACTGACCTACCTGTAGGCAAACATCCATACACATGAAGTTAAAATACATAAATCTTAGGAAAGAAACAGTAAATGATCTAGAGGTATTACATAAGGATTTAAAATAACAGGACAGGAAAGAACATGGAGGTGTCACTGCTAATGTGAGAGTAAGTGTGAAGCGTTGATATGTGATTTCAGATAGCCAAACTGAAGAAATAAATGTCATGTCAGTGATATGTATTGGTTTTCATTGTTTTGGGAATTTCATATCATGTGTTGGATGAAATTTATCCCCTGTCCCTTTGCTCTGATTACCCCTCCCCAAGTGCTTCTCCACGTCTCCACATTCACAATTTTTCTTTTTTTTTTCTTTTTTTCTTTTTTTTTTTTTTTGGGGGGGGGGGCGGTTTCCAGACAGGGTTTCTCTGTGTAGTTTTGGTTCCTGTCCTGGATCTCGCTCTGTAGACCAGGCTGGCCTTGAACTCACAGAGATCTGCCTGCCTCTGCCTTCCCAGTGCTGGGATTAAAGACGTGCGCCACCACCGCCTAGCTTCACGTTTTTTAAAAAAAGTACTGAGTTCAAAGTAAGCTACCTGTACGTGCATGAGCTATATCTCTGAAGAAAACTGACATTGCCTCTTCCAAGGCCAAGAGTTGTCTATAACATCTCAGGTAGTGGTGTGATGATCCCTTTTTCTCATGCTGGGATTTGAGCTGGATTAACCTTGTGCAATTTTTTTTTTTTTAATCCAGGCCTATCTTTCATGAAATCAGTTGTGCAATGACATCCATGTGACAGATAGGGAAACCAGACCAGCTCTGCCTGTGCTGTAATTTCATCACAACGGTGAGTAACATGATAACTTGACCAAACAGTTCATATCACAGCAGCAGGGAACCCATTGGCAGCCTGGGGGAAGTCACCAGTCAGCAGTGCAGTTGTGGGAACCATAGCAGGCATCCGAGCAGCCCTGGAACTTCCGAGCTGGCAGAGCTGCATTGCTGGGCAATAGGCAGGAACAGGACCAATGGTGTGATAGTTCTCTGCTGCTGCTCATAAGAACATGGAGTCTGATACGTTTTCATTCATCTTATGATTCCCAGGATGTTTACAGAAACATGATCTGGTAGAGGACTTGCATTATCTATTGTCTGCAAACAGGGTTCTCTTTGCTATTGTGGCAATTACAAAACTCCTGGGATTTAAATTCATCCATTCCTAGTCGCTCCCCTGTTTTACCACTTTGCCTATTCAAGAGAGTGGCTTTTCCCCATGGTGAGGAGGTATCCACAGAGAGCTTTTTAGGTATTAGTCACATAAGGAGCCACTGCAGATTTCACTGAATCAGGAAGTATATTTTAGCAAGCTTTAAAGCTATGATTGTAAACATTAACATTTACTGAGCAGACTTCTTTCTCCAATTAATTTTTCATCTGGGACTTATGCATACTCAGATATAAATACAGCATTCAGAATTATTTTTCATATCCTTAGTGCTTAATATTATACCTTTGAATCTGGAAAAGTGTAGTATATCTACGCAAACAGTGTTTTTACAGTTATAAGTTTTTGCAGTATGTATGTCACACTGTTTTTACAGTTATAAGATGCGCTATTGACTAGGACAAAATTAGAAAGTATCTGCTAAAGAATTCTTAACACTCAGTTGTATAAGAAAAATTAATTCCAATTGTCATTTGTTTCTTTTTTTCCAAGAAAAGCACTCTTCCCATAACACATGACTGAACTGGCCTGTTGATGTTTGGTTTGGGTTTTATTTTGTTGAATAAGTGCATCATCTGTTGCTGTGTCTGGCTCAGATCTCACCGTCGTACACCAACCTGGACCCTCCAGGGATCTGCCTGCCTCTCCCTTGTAGGTGCTGGGATTAAAGTATGCAGGAACACAGATGGCTTAAACACTCACTTCTTTTGTTTTTTGTTTTTTAATTTCATGATTTGTTGACAGTCAGTGCTATGACTGTGGACTGCTCTCGGGAAGAGGGGCAATGCTTGGACCCTGCTCAGCTGGCTTTGTACACACTTTGGATCTTGCAGGATTTCAGCAGTCTGTTTTTAGTGTGTGAGAATAGTTTTCTTCAGTCTCCATTGCTTCTCCCCAGGATTCTAGGGAAAACTATTCACACAAGTGTGCACTTTGTGTGAATGAGTCTCACATCTCATAGAGGAAAGTGAAATCCTAAGAGATAAAAGTACGTTGTGATACATTGATGTTTTCCATGTTTGTTCTTTGGGGAGGTGTTAGTCTTTCATTTTAGTTCTATGACAAATTCGGAAAGATAGTTTATAACGCTGTCATCACAATCATTCAGTTCCATTTCCATTCTTGTGTTTTGGTTGAGCTGTGGTTAGAGGTGGTCGGACTTAAGTTATGCTAACTGAAAATTGTCCCTCAGTGTTTTCAGTATTCTGAAACTGGGTGAGACCTGGGGGATCATCTGTAGAATCCTTTACTTTGTTTTCACTTTATTTACTTAGCACAATACTGTGATGGAAATCTAGGAGCTTTCTGAAGAATCTCTTTCTCAGGTGCAGTTTCATTGATAAGCCAGAACTGCTCACACTGGATGCAAAACCTAGATACCTGCAAGGTGGAGGGAAAGGAGACAGATCCAAATATACCAGGTATTTTTGGAGCTAGTAAGGTAGTGGTGTCGAAGGATTCAAGTAACAGTGGAAATGGAATGGAGGTGCTATTTAGATGACTCAGCAGTTATCAGCCTTTGCTTGTGTAGATAAGGACATGAGTTCAGTTCCCTGAGCCCACATGGAAGCTGACAGCCATCCATAACTTCAGTTCCAGAGACTGATGCCTTTTTCTTACCTCAGTTCACATGAGGCACAGATACAGAGCACTATCATACATGCTGCAAAACACTGGTAACCATCAGCTAAAACAATGAAAATGCAAATGAGATATGAGATTGCTTTTGCTACATTCTCTTTCTCTAGAAATGATCCTAGAGCAGTTGTTCTCAACCTTCTTAATGCTGCAACACTTCAATTCAGTTCCAGGTGGTGTATGTGGGCTTATCTGCATATGAGCAGATTCACATGGAAATAGATAGAGGAGTGATGTGTTTTCGGAAATATGTGTTTTCCTATATTCTTAGACTACCCCGGTGAAAGGGTCTTTTGAACCCCACCCCATAATAGCTCACAACCCATAGGTTGAGAACTGCTGTTCTAGAGTATTCTACTGTAAATAATCTCTAGGTTACCTCATTGTACATGTAACTGGCTTTCTATGTAAGAATTAATACTATGAAAAATGTAATTTATTTGACTATGAATGAGAGTCATGCCATCCCCATCCTGCTCATATCCCTTTTATGTCTTCATATCAGTATAATGATTTTCAGAACTAATTTTAATGTCTTGTAAAATAAGGAAAATTAGTGCCTCTAGGTTTGTTTCCTGGTCTCCTGCCTTTGAGATTTTTTTTTTAAGTTTCTGTAGATGGTATTCCTTTAATACTCTCATTTTCCATTTCCTAACATGATGCTTTTACAACTTCAATAAGAATTATTTATTATCTCTGCATTGTTTCAAATCTGTCTTAATTGTCTTCATTTTAAAATTGCCTGTTGCCTTTCTTCAAACCAAAACTCAATGGTTTTTATTATTGTAATTGTAATATATTTTGAAATCTTGTTTTGCTTCTGAAGGTCTTTGAACTCTATGCTTTCTCAAAATTTCATATCAAGTTAGCACAACTTTTTTCCATTTTGCCGAAGTTCCTCTTTCGTGTTGAAATGAATTGCTTAGAATTCTTATGTAAGAGAAATTCCCTTTTCAATTGTGTTCCTATATTTGAATGAGAACACAAAATCCCCTGTCAGTGTTCACATGTGATATATGTATTCTTCTGTTTCAAATGTGGATTTACTATTCACGTGCATGCTGGTCAGTGAGTAATTCATTTTTGCAAGAATGTGCTATAATCAGTTATTTCATACAGGACCACATGTGTAATATAGTTGGATCTGATGTGAATTTTTGCTTGTGTTTGCTGAAGAAACTGTACACTGACTTCTGGTGGCTACAGTAAGTTAGATTTCCACTGACACTGTGTCTCTGAGTTCTTTTCTTTTGTGTAGTCCACAGGATTTGTTGTAAAAGTCCTTGAATGTGGACCCTGAATCTGCAGAAAGGGGATTTCAGTGCATATTAGGTGAGTATTTGTTCCATGCCTAACAGTGTGGAGCACTTTTAATGTGTACTTAGTGGCCATTATAACTGCTTTATAGCACTATCTATTGAAATGATTTGCTTCTTCATTGAATTAATTATTATTTCTTTGCTTTGTTGTTTTTTCTTTATTTTATGATATATTCTGGGTATTAACCTCTCATACCATGAAAAGCTAGCTAATAACTTTATGAAAATGAAATGAAAAGCTAGATAATAAATTTATCTGCTCTATAGGCTGTTTCCTCATACTTTTGCTTTTTATGTTTTCTGTGTATGTTTTAATTGCACATATCTATTTTATCAGTTTACTCTTTCAGAATACATGAAAGTCTGTGATTCACTAGATAGTAGGACAGAATCAACCCAGATTCATAGCTTTTGTCTGGTAGACAATTTTCCCAACACCCTAGCTGATGAGGCTACCTATTACCAAACACATCTGTTTTATTTTGTTGACCATCACGTGGTCACTGCTGTTGTTCTGTTTCTGTATCTGCTGCTCTGTTGCATAGGGCTGTTTATCTACTCTTCTGACACTCCCCTGTGATGGTCATGTGATTGCTGTATCAGCTGGAATCTCAGCTAAGATAATTCAAGCTCTGTTCTATGTACCTGGAGTTGCTCTGTATACTCAGATTTTTTGTGCTTCCATGTAAAATTAGTTTTTTCCTGACTGTTTTGTGAAGAGTATACAATATATTGTGTATTTCATGGCTAACGTCCCTATCCTTTGCTAACACAATGTTTGTCCCCTCTCCTGTCATGTTCCCTCAGATTTGAACCAGGTCGTGTAATTCCTCATCATGGCTGTGCAGTCAGCAGTCACTCCTTCTCTGTATGTGTCCAGTTAGGAGTCCATGAAAGAGCTGTGGCCCACTCTGTACAAAGGTTCTCTGACATGGGCTGAAACCAGTTGCTGGCTAAATTGTGAACAGAACCTTTGAATATCTGTATATGTAGCAAAATGTCATGTCATGAGTGGATTCCCACCTATGGCCTGTTACCCTTCCAGTCTTAGGCACTTGTCCAGGATTCCTGTGTATTTCACATATTTCCTTCTCTGGAACTAGCCAAAAATGTAATCAGATAGTATTTGATTACAGAGAAAACTGTCTTCACTTTATGGCACTGTTTTAGGAAACCAAGGGAAGCAGGCACCCAACTGTGATCTTGTTGATATGTAAAACGCCAGCTGATTTAAAGCGTGGGCTTTAAGGTTTATTTGAAAAATTATCAGAACTGAGCTTTCTCATGGAGTATATATCATTTTGAAGTTGAGAATGATACTTCTTTTTTTTTTCCTTTGGTTTTTTTTAAGGCAGGGTTTCTCTGTGTAATAGCCGTGACTGTCCTGGATCTCACATTGTAGATCAGACTGGCCTCAAACTCACAGAGGTCCACCTGCTTCTGCTTCCTGAGTGCTGAGATTAAAGCCGTGCACCACCACATCTGGCTTGACAATTATATTTCTTATAATTTGGAATGAGTTACTATCTGACATCTGTTTACCCCTTTAAAGTGAGATTTTTTTTTTCTCTTTCCTTCTTGCTCTGGGAAAGAATAGATCCACCATGCTGAGTTAGTGTGGACAGAGGGGACACCTGTGTCCCTTTCCTGAGGAGATTGGAATCCTTCCAGTTTTCCTCATTTAGTAAAATGTTAGATTTATCTTCTTGGCTTCTATTGTTTGTTATGCTAAGGTGTGTTCTTCCTATTCCAAGATTTTTGAAATCTTCAAAATGAGCAAATGTGGAATTTCTCCATAGCCCTTTTATGGGTTTATGGATATGATCATGTTTCTTCTGTCAGAGCTTAGATGTTTGCATTCTTACATAGATATGTCTGTACATGTTGAAACAAGCTTCTATCCCTCAGCTTTAAAAGGTGACATGGGGAGTACATTTGTACTTTCTGTAAATCTCCGAAGGGATTTCTCCTGCTTGCATTCCCACCAGAAGTTAGAATAGGGTAAGGTTCTAATTTCCCATTTCCTCATCTGCATTTTTGGCCATTTGATTATTTTTTGTTGTGTATTATTTTTTTGAGGGTCTCAATATGTAACTGTCAATGGTCTGATGCACACCATGTAGACAAAAATAACAGCAGATTACAGAATTATACCTGCCTCAGCATCCAGTGTGGTGAAATTAAAGTTTTGCACATCAGATTTGGTTCTATTTGTTTTCTTATTTTTTGTTAGTTTTTATTTTCTTTTATTGCATGAGCGTTTTGGCATAATGTGTGTCTGTGCCACACATGTGTCTAGTGCCTGTGGATGTCACATGAAAGCATTACATCTTTTGGGAAGGAATTTACCGATGGTTGTGAGCCGTGATATCAATGCTGGGATTCAAACGCACGTATTCTGGAAGAGCTGTAACTGCTCTAACCCACTGCACCAACTCTTGATCCACCAATTTGTTGGCTAGTATGAGATGGAATGTCAAGGTTGTAACTTGCTCGAGGCTAAGGAGCATGAACTTAGGAATATTTTAGGGGGCTCTGGGAAGTCTTTTAAGCTACAGTCAATGGAATAGTATCCTAATTTATTTTCAACATACTCAATATTGGTTATGTAGAAAACTGGTGCTTCATGGTTTTTATTTCTATACTCTTCAATATTACTAAGGCTTTTGTCAAGTATAAAGGTTTCTGATGGTGTTTTCAGGTTATTTATGCAATCACATCATCATTGAAATGGTTGAGTTATTTCTCTTCCTTTCCTACTATATCTCTTTGCTTGTTTCTCTCTTTCAAATTTCTGTAGCTAGTTCCTTTATTATTCTTGTTACGTGTGTGTGTGGGTGTTTGTTCTGCATGTATTTCTGTGTATCACACCTGATCAGTGTCCACGGAGGCCATAAGAGGGCATGAGGATCCCCTGGAACTAGTGTTACGGACTGTTTTATGAGCTGCCATTTGGTTGCTGCTCTAGAACCCCAGTCCTCTGGAAGAACAGCCAGTGCTCCTGACCACCAAGCCTCACTCCATCCTCTCTAACTAAGTTAAAACTATAATAAATACAATTGGGAAGAATGTGAACTTTTGTCTTGTTACAATGTCAGGTCAATTCTGTACATTTTCTTCTTTGAGATTGTAAACCTACATTGACAAATATACTCTTTATTATGTTGAGATGTGTTTCCTCTATTCCAACTTCTAGTAGGGATTTTATGGCGAAGTCTTTTGAAGATCCATAGATCAAATTCTGTTCTATATGTACTGAGATTCTATTTCTTAGAGTCTTTAATCCAGGTTTTGCTGGTGTTGTAGCTGGTATATTATTGTTCTTATTGTTCTCCATTCCCAGTGATGGGTTAATGCTTTCCTGTGTTGTACATGATGGATTGCTTCCCAGTTCTCTGCAATTTATTTATTCCTCACATAAAATGTTCCCTGAGATTTGGATGTGGTAATAAGGATTTTTCACTCACAAGTTGTGCACTCAGCAGTCTCTGAAATAACTGTGTCCTGTTGCAAATGAAATTTTTCTGACCCAGGCTGAAAGCAGTACCAGGCTATTGTATGAGCAGAACCATTTAAAGGCAGTTCCAGTATTTTTGCATGGAGCAGTATGTCAAGAGTAGATTCTCTTCTAGGGCCTGTGATCTTTCCAGTCATTGACTTTTGGCCAGTTTCCAGTGCTATCTGTGTGTTTGTGGGCTGAGCTCAGTTTGAAGCAGAATGCTTCTGTTACCCATAAAATAGTTTTGGCACTATTCCGCTGATGGGTATATCCCTGTCTGGCAGGTTGATATTGCAGCACAAGGGGTCATCATCTGGGGACAGACACTGATGATTCTTCTCATGCAGCAGCCTGCAGAGCACTTTTAGCATTTTGAATGCTACACTAGGGTGTCTAAGACTGTTTAGACCCCGAGTCTTCTGCTGACTTCTCATCATATTCTATTTGAATGTAGAAACTCAAGTGATATTTTCTTGGATTTCCATAGAGCTTATAGAGAGGGTTATCAGATCTGAGCTTTCTCTTGGAAAATTTGGGAGATTTTGCAGTAAATAATTGTGTTTCCTGTAATTTGAGAAAATGTGCTCTCAGAATTTTCTCATTTGACACATTGAAAATTTTGTCTCTCTTGTTGTTTATAGCACTGATGCAGTGTGTTGAGTTAGTGTGCAGGAAGTGGATACCTTCGTCTCTCTTCTGATTAGAGTAGAGTGATGGTGGCTTCCTGCATTTTTTGTGATGTTAGGTCCAGCGTTCTGGCTTTTATCTTCATTAGTCTGAGGTATGTCCCTTCTGTTCTCTTGTTCTTCAGAGCTTTTATTGTGAGCCAATGTGATACTTTTCGACAGGCTGTTAATGAATATGTTGACATAATTGTGTGTCGTCTCTCACTGATTATATTTTGTGCCTGGAATTGATTGTTTCATGGGTATTGCAACATTCTTTCATTTCTTGTATGAAATCAATCTGAGTTCCATTTCTACATCCATTAGAGAGAATCTTGTTGTCAATGCCCATCCTTGCAACTGGTCTGTGATTTTTCCTTTGCAAATAGTTTTCATCCTCATCTGCTTATTGTACCAATGTAAAGTCAGTTTTATGTGATAATGGCCTAGTATTCCTTTTCTTTTAGTTTTTGGCAATATTTTCTGTGGAGGACTAGTATAGGAATTTGCAAAGGAATTAGAGAAAGATGTGGACCCCCACACAGAGGGGGCTTCCTCCTGGACCCCTGATTATGTTCCAACCACACCTAAACGCCTATTTACACAGAGAGATCTTTTATTAAGCAGAAAAGAAAAGTTGAAATGACTACTTTCTGATTCTGGCAGAAAAACAGCAGCAAATGACTTTGTAGGTGGAATTCTTAAGAAGAACAGAAGGGGAACTCTGTCTTAGAATGGGCTAGCATGAAGTAGTAAAGGAGATAAAAGATTAGGGAGAAGGGGAGGGACAGGGGACTGTCTCTGGATAGAGGGGACACAGAAGTGGCACATAGGCAAATGGCAGTTTGTAAAGATAAAAGAAGAAACGTCATGTTGGGATGAGGGATTAATTTTAATTGGCCTTGCTTATTAGATGAACAAAAAAGAGCTTCAGATCACTGGACCTTAGGAGAAAACCTCAGGAGGATGAAGTGACCAAAGAAGGGAATAGACCTTGGTGACTAGCTTTAGAGATATAATCTAATGTTTTTGTTGTTGCTGCTTTGTTTTGTTTTTTATTTAAAAATTTTTTTATTCATTTTACATACCAACCACAGATTCCCCTCTCATCCCTCCTCCCCCTCCGGCCACGCTCACTCAGCCCTCCCCAGTCCCACCCCTCATCCCCTCCTCCAAAGGTATTTCAACAAGAATTCCAGTCTTTGTTTCTGAGACAGAAACACAGAGAAGAGTAACAAGAAGAATGAATGCTTCTGTGATAAATGCTCCCCAGGTCAGTGTCATGCCCACATTTCTCTGAAAATTTTTTTTGTGATTGAAACTATTCAAGACTTTAATTATCTACCTTGGGAAATGTTATTGAAAGTGTTTGTTTTCTGTAGCTAAAGTTTTCCTGCCTGGCCCACAGTCGGGACAAATATCTCTCACCTGCCAGTCCCACAGCCGCTCAGACCCAACCAAGTAAACACAGAGACTTATATTGGTTACAAACTGTATGGCCGTGGCAGGCTTCTTGATAACTGTTCTTACAGCTTAAATTAGTCCATTTCTATTAATCTATACCTTGCCACATGGCTCGTGGCTTACCGGCATCTTCACATGCTGCTTGTCATCGTGGCGGCTGGCAGTGTCTCTGACTCAGCCTTCCACTTCCCAGCTTTATTCTCCTCCTTGTCCTGCCTATACTTCCTGCCTGGCCACTGGCCAATCAGTGTTTTACTTATTGACCAATCAGCAACACACTTGACATACAGACCATCCCACAGCAGTTTTCTACTATTTTTTTTCTTTTCTGATAATCAACATTATGTCTTTAAATCTTTCACCAATATAGCAGAAACTTGTCCCATTATATTTTCACACAGTTTTATACTATGAGGACATGAATTTCCATGGACTTAAGACTTGCAATTCTGAAACGGAATCTACTGTTAATGATGCTCAAAGAAATAGATTGATGGCCAGTTTTTACATAGGATGGACTTGCATCCTTTCATACTAGTGTGGAAGGAAGGTCTAAAGTGCCACATTTGTTGCATTTCTGGAATGGTCAGTGTTCCAGAAACAGGCTTATGAACGTGAGCATACTAATACATGGACCTTTTCACGGACATCACTGAGCAATTAATGGCAAAGTAGAATTGAAAGAGACTCACTGGACTGAATCCTAATAGTAAATATTTCAGCATATATGGCTTGCTCTTGCCAGAAAGTTGATGTGTCTGTGAGGAGATGCAAATTGCAGTATTCTGGTTCCCTTTTTGCCATTTTATGTCACACAGTGATGATGGATGTGCTGACACTTGAAATGTATTTGTCTCAGGAGAGGTTCTGTTCAATGCTCAATGGTGAGTTCTCCTTAGGAAGATTATTATTTTCTCTTTATATTTTGTTGTATTTTTCAAACAAGTGAGCATTGCTGTCTCCACCTTTGTATGATATCATGTGGAATATGTTAGAATTTTCTAGAGTATTGACTTGGTGCTGCATATAAGCCATCAGTTTTCAAGCATAAACAAATGCCCCTCTTAATGACTTTACTTCTTTTCTGTTAGAGAAAGAAGGCTCCCTCTACCCTATGTTTTCCTTTCTCTGAAGCTTTGTATTACAGGGGGTGGGGGGAAGTCCTGAAATTGTGTCAATGTTTCTGTTTCTTTCTTTACAATAGTATTTTGTTTATGGACATGGGTTTTCATCAGCATATTTTTATGTACACTGCAATGTATGATGCATAGTGCCCCTTGTCACAGTCAAACCCTTGGCACTGAACTCAGGCACTGTAGTGAGCTGCTTTGTGTGTAGAGAGGATTAAATTAGGTGTCTCTGCAGGAACAGAAAGTGCCTTTCACCAGGGAGCCATTTCTTCAGACCCAGGTTTACATTTCTGGTGCACACTTGTGACAGAGACAGCATATATACTTACCGATGCAACCTAAAATCCTGTTAGATGAATGAGTTGAAAGACTGAAGAACATAGTGCAGTTGAAATTACAAGATTTAAATTTTCAGTTGAGTCAATCACATGAGCAATAACATATTCAAAATTAATGAAAAGTTATTACATTTTTCAGTCAATTTAATATATTCATTTTGATAATAGAAAATGTTTCCACTTCATCTGAATGAATTGTCACTTAGGCCATTTATTTACACATGTATTTCTTTTTTTTAATTATTTATTTATTTTTTTTAATTTTATAATTTGATTTAATTTTATATATCAGCAACGGATTCCCCTGTCCAACCCCCCCCCCTCCGCCCTCCCCACAGACCACCCCCCATTCCCATCTCTTCCAGGACAAGGACTCCCCTGGGGATTCAGCTCAACCTCGTAGATTCAGTCCAGGCAGGTCCAGTCCCCTCCTCCCAGGTTGAGCAAAGTGTCCCTGCATAGGCCCCAGGTCCCAGTCCCACTGCCTGGGTGCCTCCCAAACAGATCAAGCTAATCAACTGTCTCAGTTATCCAGAGGGCCTGATCCAGTTGGGGGCTCCTCAGCTATTGGTTCATAGTTCATTTGCTTCCACTAGTTTGGCTATTTGTCCCTGTGCTTTTTCCAACCTTGGTCTCAACAATTCTTGCTCATACAATACATCTTCTTTCTCGCCGATTGGACTCCTGGAGCTCCACCTGGGGCCTGGCCATGGATCTCTGCATCCGATTCCATCAGTCATTGGATGAGATTTTTAGCACGACAGTTAGGGTGTTTGGCCATCCTATCACCAGAGTAGGTCGGTTCAGGCTGTCTCTCGACCATTGCCAGTAGTCTATTGTGGAGGTATTTTTGTGGATTTCTGGGGACCTCTCTAGCACTTTGTTTCTTCCTATTCCCATGGGGTCTTCATTTATCATGGTCTCTCTTTCCTTGTTCTCCCTCTCTGTTCTTGATCCAGCTGGGATCTCCCGCTCCTCTAAGCTCTCTTTCCCTTGACCCTTGCCCTTCATTACCCCTCTCCCATGTCCAGTTTGCTCATGTAGATCTCATCCATTTCTCTGTCATTGGTACACATATATTTCTAATGATTCTGTAGTGAAACTCCATATGGAATTCATGAAATTGTTATCAGTATTGCTTGTGTCAACATTTAGAAAAATTTAAATAACATTAATGTTGTCTAATTCTGCTTTTTCTATTTTACTTCATAGTTGTGAAAATTTCTCATAAAATAACTTCACAAAGTATTTGATTCTATGTGTTGTTTGGAATGTTGGGTGTATGCACTAATTTTACACTCTTTATTAATTAAAGAAAAACTCTGACTTTTAATTCATCCATGAATTCTACATTCCATATTTTACCTATTTTTTCTAGAAAGGATGTAGCATTTTGCCTCTGCCTCAGGATCTGAACTGAGCATTTTAGAATAGAGTCAGGTGAGGCCCAGCTGCAAACAGGCTTGATCTATTGTCCATGTTTGAGCAAAGTTGAAAGCTGCAGAATTCAGAAGCATACTTTTGCTCATTATAACCTGACCTTCTGAGATGTGACACTGGGATCATGTTTGATATCAACACATACTTCATAAAGGTACATCTAGAGCTCAAATATGTATGTTGTATTCCCTAAAGTTTGCTGATTGCAGAACTATTATGTTATCCTGTTTTCACAGAGATAGCAAATACAATAAAGACTGAATATTTTAGAAAGTCTCTTATTAAAGTTAAATTGTAACTTTATTTTCTGTATTTCAATATATTTGCAGGAATGTATGCGTGTGTACTATGTGTGCCTCCTCCCTATATGGTTTAGTGGAAAGCATTGGTTCTCATGAATCTGAGATTAAATTCTGGGATGTAGTGCTGGGAGCCAAAATCCATTTTCAAGGACTTGAAGACATTACAGAATGCAAACTAGAGACAAAATTTTCAAATGTAGTGATTGTGGTAAATACTTTATCTGCTGCTCAGATCTTAAAAAAAATCAGAAGATTCATGGAGGAGAGAGACCTTATGAATGTAAGCAATGTGGTAAATACTTGTCTACATTGCCTCTGAAAGAACTGCAATGCTAAAGTTCTGACACACCCATGCAGCACTTCTAGGAAACTTCCCTCTTTGAAGAATTGTCATGTCTCATCTATATCACAAAAGTGTTTCTAATTCTTTAGGTCATTTTTACCAAAAAAGAAAAAAATTTGTTAAGCAGCACATGACAAATATGTAATTTTCTGTTGCAGAGTGGGTTAACATTCAGGGATGTGACTGTGGACCTCTCACAGGAGGAATGGGAATGTCTGGACTGTGGTCAGAGAACATTGTACATGGATGTGATGTTGGAGAATTACCACAATCTAGCCTTTGTGGGTAAGAATGCTCTTCTTGTAATAACTCATCTATTCCTTGTATTTACCTACTTTGTATATATGTAAACTCTTTGAACCTAGAGAATCCCAGAAATGAGGGAAATTCTGGTTACCAATATCACTTTTTAATGGAACTTCATTTACATTCTCCTTGTTCTCTGGAAGAGTAACAAATACTATATTCTCTGTGATCTCTTCAGCCCTTCTATCTACTATATAAAGAACACTTCAAAGTTCAAAGAGTACTGAATATTCAGAATACGGAAATATATTGCAGTATTAAAATGAGTAGAATATTTCTATTTCACTACTAGTTTAAACTATTCACCTATTTCTGATTATGAACACTAAAAAAGGTTTTAAATAGAGAAGGAGTTGTTTGTTGTGTGAAAATATTTTTATTTATTTATTTTTGAGATGTGATTGCTATGTTTAGTACTGGCACAGCATCATTCTAATTTTTGCGTGTTGGAGGCTGAAGAGGGGGACCTGTAAATTTATGCCGACCTGGGTTATATGATGATTTCCTAGATGACCAAAGCTTCACTGTGTGATTCTGTCTCAAAAACATAATAGGTAAACATTCCTCATATGATCCTTCACAGAGCCTTTTTCTCAAAGTTCTTTACTACTTGAACACCTATTTGTCCTACCTGCTGCAAGGTACAGTGTTTAGGTAACAACAAGATGGCTATTACTGGTCCCTGTGGTTTGATATAGATCAAATTGGAAGTTCTTATGAGCATCCATAAAATGATTATGAAACAGAAAAGATCTCTGTTGAGAGTCTATCCCTGAAAACTGCTAGTTTATGTGTCTAAGAAAATGTAAGTTATGAAACCTCTTACTCATGGGTTAATCCTTATTATCCTTAATTGCACTAATTTTCCAGAGAATCATCGCATATGTGGTAAATATGAGAAGGGCTTGAATCAAGGCGCAAAGCACATTGTCCATGAGGATGTGAATAGCCAGGAGAAGTCTTATAAATGTAATGAGCTTGGGAACATAATTCATGAATCCTCCCGATGTACACCTTATGACACAAATGATACTGCAGAATATTGCAACAAGTACAGATTTGATATCCACAGAGATGCTTCTGTTGAAACATATGTAAACAGACATAAAAGTGGGAGCACTGGAGAAGAACCTTGCAAATATAAAGAGTCCATAAACTGTTTAAATTTGTATTCTATCATTAGCCAAAATCAAAGAATTCACACAGGGAAGAAAGGACACCAAAATACAGAGTGTGATAAATCTTTTGACTTTCAAACTAAAATCACACAGAAATGTACCAATCGTGGGAAGAAACTACACCAATGCAGGAAATGTGGAAAATGCTTCAAGATGTGCTCAAGCCTCAGTGGACATCACAGGGCTCATATTAGAGAGAAAACTTATAAATGTACAAAATGTAGTAAATCCTTTTTGCATTTGTCCCAACTCAAAGTCCATTACAAAATCCATTGCAGAGAAAAACCTTACAAATGTACAGACTGTGCTAAGTGCATTTATCATACACCCAACATTGAACGGTATTATAGGATCCACACTGGAGAGAATACTTACAAATGTAGTGATTGTAGCAAATCCCTTATAAGTGCCTCATTGCTTAGAACACATCAGAGAACCCATTCGGGAGTGAAACTTTACAATTGTAGCAAATGTGAGAAATCTTTTTCCAAGAAAGACCATCCTAGAACTCATCAGAGAATGCATTTAAGAGAGAAACCTTTCAAATGTAGTGACTGTGACAAATCCTTTTCTAAGAAAGATAATCTTAAAACTCATCAGCGAATCCATACAGGAGAGAAACCTTATAAATGTAGTGACTGTGACAAATCCTTTTCTAAGAAAGATAATCTTCAAACTCATCAGCGAATCCATACAGGAGAGAAACCTTACAAATGTAGTGAATGTGGTAGATCTTTTACCCTGAAAGGCTATCTTAAAACTCATCAGAGAATCCATACAGGAGAGAAACCTTACGAATGTAGTGACTGTAACAAATCCTTTACCCAGAAATCCAGTCTTAGAATTCATCAGCGAATCCATACAGGAGAGAAACCTTACAAATGTAGTGACTGTGAAAAATTCTTTACCCAGAAATTCACTCTTAGAATTCATCAGAGAATCCATACAGGAGAGAAACCTTACAAATGTAATGAATGTGACAGATCCTTTACCCTAAAAGTCAATCTTACAAACCATCAGAGAATCCATACAGGAGAGAAACCTTACAAGTGTAGTGAATGTGACAAAACTTATTCCAAAAAAGACCATCTTAGAATTCATCAGAGAAACCATACAGGAGAGAAACCTTACAAATGTAGTCAATGTGAGAAAGCTTATTCCAACAAAGACCATCTTAGAATTCATCAGAGAATCCATACAGGAGAGAAACCTTACAAATGTAGTCAATGTGACAAATCCTTTACCCAGAAATTCACTCTTAGAATTCATCAGAGAATCCATACAGGAGAGAAACCTTACAAATGTAGTGAATGTGACAAATCCTTTACCCAGAAATTCACTCTTAGAATTCATCAGAGAATCCATACAGGAGAGAAACCTTACAAATGTAGTAAATGTAACAAATCCTTTTCAAGAAGTTCAGTTCTTAAAAAACACCAGAAAACTCATATGGGTGAGAAGCCTTATGAATGGAGTGAATGCAAGAAATCCTTTACTCAGAAAGGCAGTCTTAGAACTCATCAGAGAATACATACATGAAACTTTAAAAATGTAGTGAATGTGACAAATCCTTTACTGTTGGCTCATTTCTTAGAATACATCAGAGACTACATCCAAGAGAGAAACTTTACAAATGTAATATATGAGGAAAAGACTTTACCTGCCCCTCAAGTCTAAGATGGAAATTCATACCATTGGGAAGGGATTTCATAGGAAATAATGTGTTATGTGCATTATCCAAGCTCTATCCTTAGTGATGCTTGATGCTCCACACTAAAGAATCATTATGAATGTGAGAAGCTTGTGAAAGTCTTTAAGTAATGTTCAAAGCTTAGAAAAAAATCAATTATGTTGAGGGAAATTCTGAAATGTGGCAATATAGGAAATTTTACATTAAAACTTTTTACTTCTTCAACCTCAAATTCTTTGTAATGAAGTCAAAATGGAGAAATCTGCAGTGTATGCTATTATGTAACAGTTTCCTGGAGATTGGAATGATTCATTCTGAGGGGAAGCTGATTATGGCAGTAAATACACCACTCACAATAGCTTCAAGAAATCCCAGAAATTGACAGGATTCAGTATGCTTAACTCAAATGAAGAAACTCAGATAAACCATGCTGCTTAGAAGGGGATTTGAGCCTCCAAGATAGATTGCTCTTTAACCTGTATGTATGCCTACAGGTTTGCAAATGTTCTCTGGGTGTGCATTATTCATATGCTGTATCACATGGTGGTTTCAAGTTTCATGATAGCAACTGTGTTGAATTTCTTGTGCTCCAGTGAGCAATTCCTGCCCTGTAGCTGAAAGTTTTCCTGTGTCCCACCTGGTCTCATAGCCACTCAGACCCAATATGGCTCTATTTATCAACTAATAAGAGTAACACATATTCACAGCATACAGAAAGGCATCCCACAGCACTTCCCCTTTTCTGTCTAATCAAAATGGAAGGTTTTAAATTTAACATAGTAAAATTACATCTAACAAAACAGTTATCAAGCAAGAATTGTTGTTACAATATCTAGTCTATGTGTATTTGTCAAATTCAAAGAAAATATTCTATTTATCTTATAATTGTGAGCTTAAGGTTTCATATATAACTTACCTTTTATCATAACCAAGAAAAATTATAACTATCTAGTCTTCAATTACATCAAAGATCTCCCAAGGATATAATATTACCTAACAGGAAAAGCATTGTAAGCAACCTCCAAAATTCTGGAAATGACAGAGACAGCTGCCTGCCTGGACAGTCATCCAAAGTTCCTCTGTCATGTTGGGGCATCCATCTTCAGCCAATAGGCCTAGAGTTTTTTAGTTGCTTCTCCCTGTGTCCTGTAGAATGTCTGGCAGTCTCCTCTGTGAAGCAGAAACCTGAAGAACCATTTTGCCTTGCAAAGTTCACTGGCTACCTTCCTATGTGTCCTGCATATCCAGTTTATATAACATTATCAGCAGTCCAGGCAAGAGCATTTTCTTGCCCAAATGGCTATTTTTGCCAAGAAGAAGATAAACTCATATGGAGTATCTTCAATACCCATTTTCCTCTTTGAAGTAAGTTGGTGCTGCCAGGAGCAGACATGTCTCACTGTCCATAATGTCTAAGTTTTTAAAACATTTTAAATGCCATATTCTGTAAGGCTTTGAAGTGTTTCAAGATTACTTACTTAATTGAAATATATCTTTATATATACCTAAAGAAACTTAACTAACATGATTATAAGTTTGATTATCATGGATGACTAATTATTAATCTGTATTTCTTATACGTTACAATTTCAAATGAGCTGCACAAACATACCTTAAACAAGAGTAGAAATATAGTATAACAAAATTAACTTTAAATTTGTATCAATAAAGTAAAATCCATATCATTGTAAAACATTTCAAATAAGTTGTTATTCTTTAAAAGTAGGTTCAATAATCTACCCTTTCATTCTATTATATCTATATCATATCCTTTTTTCTTCATTAGAAAGAGACTGCATTTATAATCAATCCTCTTTAAATAAAAATATACATTTTTTGTAAACAATATTTTGGGAATTTGGGTGTAGCTTCTAATACTACTTCCTGCTGGTTGAGGGTGAAGACATCTTTACGGGATCCTGAGAAAATTAAGAATTATGGTCAAGTCCTGACTGGAATAGTCTGTGAGGCTATATTCTCTGAAGCAGTTGCCTTGAAGCCATTCTGGATGTTGGATCATGTGGGCCATGGTGTCATCGGAGACCTTTCAGGGAGTCTTGACTGATCAAACCATATTAGCCTGGAAGCAATTCACAGGTTCTCATCTTCTGTGGAAACAAAAGCAGGACCTCTTTTCCAAAGCAACATATCCTTAGACATAAACTTTGAAGTCAAAATACCTTTAAATATATATATATATATAATATTATATTATATTATATTATATTATATTATATTATATTATATTATATTATATTATATTGATTTAACTGAGCAGCCTTTACAATCAAATATCTTTCTGCAGTTAAAGATCCCAATACAATATAATCCAGACTCTGTGTATGATTTCAATCTTTACATGGCTATTTTTTATATTACTTTTACTGTCTCTTTAAATGACTTTATTTTTTAAAACTATTTCTTTATATAACTGTCTATCCTTTTTCTCTCTTGAAAGCCTATGTACATTTTTACACACATTGTAAACTGTTTAGAGGTTTATTCCATCTGAGTCTGCCTTATTGTTAATCTATTGCTTTAAACTGCAGCTTGGCTAGGTCAGAATTGGCAGTCTTGGCTGCTGACTCCTCCCACCTTAGCTTCCCAACATGGTGGAGGTAATTTACCACCAGCTCTGGGAGCAATGCTGTCTGCCAGTTCTGGAAGGCAGTGTGTCTATGTCTCTATCAAGCAGCATGTAGCTCAGTAACCCTTTTTATAGTAGCAAAAGCTAAACCCACCATGGATTAGAGACACCTCTGTGTACTGTGGTGGGAATCCGCCATGCTGCAGGTCAAGCCCACATGCCACAAATCTGCCATACTGTAGCTCAAGCCTGCAGGCTGCAGCTGGCCTGAGAGACACACTAGGAAGCTGTTTTAAGCTTCATTTTACAATCTTTTTTAAAGTTTCTCAGGTTTTGGGTGGAAATTCTTGCTCCACATTGGGGAGCTAAACATAACTGGAAGTTTTCCTGTGTCCTGCCCAGTCCCTCAGCCACTCAGACCCAAGTAAACACACAAAGGCTTATATTAATTACCAATTGCATGGCCTAATGCAGGTCTCTTGCTAGCTAGTTCTTATATCTTAAATCAACCCATTTCTACTAATCAGTGTTTGGTCACGTGTTCCACGGCTTTACCAATCTGCTGGCATGTTGTTCGGAGGCAGTAGCTGGTGTCTCTCTCCACCTTCTTCCTGTCTCTCTGCTTGAATTTCCTGCCTGCCTCTAAGCTGCCTTGCCATAGGCCAAACAGCTTTATTGATCAACTGATCAGAGCAACACATTCACAGCATATAGAAAGATATCCCACAGTACTTCCCCATATTCATGTGTGCAATTCCAATAAAGCTCTCTGATTCAAAAAGTTGGCCTTGCCTCTGTTTTCAGTTTCCAGTTGTGAGTAGATGCATATGCATGTTGCATCTCCCTAGGAAAAGTGTCTCATGAAACATGTGTTGAACCCATTAAGTGTTCCTCCAAACTTATAAACAGAAAATTGATATTAGAGCAGCAGTTATCAACCTGTGGGTCTCATACTTTCATAGGGTTTTCCTAAGATACAGTAAAACACATTATTTCTGATTATCTTAGGAACTGAGACACTAATCCTCTGTGCAACTCCAGGTGAGTCTCCCTATGTGCAGATACACATATAGGAGTACTTGGAACTGCTTTGAAGGTTTGCAGTATTAGGAAAGTTGGAACTACTGTATTAAAGAGAAGGCATTTGAGTCACATAACCTAGGTAAGATTGTGCCCAGTACTCCAGGCTTCCTGCCATAGTATTTGTTGGAGTTCAAAGAGCTCCACACATACAAAATATAAAGGATTCAGGGGCTGGAGAGATGGCTCAGAGGTTAAGAGCACTGACTGCTCTTCCAGAGGCCCTGAGTTCAATTCCCAGTACCCACTTGGTGGCTCACAACCATCTGTAATGAGATCTGGTGCCCTCTTCTGGCCTGTATGCTGTATACATAATAAATAAATTTTTTTAAAAAAAGGAAAATAAAGGATTTGGCTTCAGAAGGCTGCTCTCTTTCTCTGCAATGTTGGGGCATCTGTCTTTGGCCTACAGGCCTGGCATATCTGATAGACTTATCTGTGAAGCAGGATTTTCTGGAGGGCTTTCCTACCTTGTCTTGGCAAAGTTCAGTAATCCTTTCTTTTGTGTTCTGCTTGTCACATTTGGACAGCATACTGTCAGCAGTCAAGGCAAGGACATTTTCTTGCCCAGTGGCTAATTTTTGTCACAAAGAAAGTAAATTCTATATGGAGTTTCATCAATGCCCATCATCTTATCTGAAGTAGATTGGTGCTGCCAGGAGCAGACATGTCTCGTCATTTTTTTTAAAAAAAAGGAATCTATGTTATTAAGACATCTTAAATGCCATATTCTGTAGTTCTCTGAAGTGTTTAAGAATGACCTATCTATCTAAAATATATGTTTGAACTTGAAAACATACCTAACATGACTACAGATTCAATTGTAATGACTAACTAGTAACTTGCATATTTTTTCCCTTTTTTTTTTTCTTTTTCTGAGACAGGGTTTCCCTGTGTAGTTTTGGTGCCTTTCCTGGTTCTGTAGATGAGGCTAGCCTCAAACTCACAGAGATCCACCTGGCTCTGCATCCTGAGTGCTGGGATTAAAGGTGTGCACCACCACTACCCAGCTGCATTTCTTTATACCCTAGTTTGTAATAATAACTTTTAAGGACTAGAAATTTGCATTACATTGTTAAATGAGTTGTATAGGTACAATACTTTGAACAAAATTAAAAATGTATATGCAGTATGTTCTAACAAAATTAATCTCAAATTTGTATGATATACAAAATTTGTATACAACATATAAAAATCCAATCCACAATGTAAAATATTTAAAACTAGTAGTTTCTTTTTAAAGTAGATTCAATAATCTACCTTTTTTATTTTATCATATCTATACTCTCCATTTTTCCTTTTCAGAGTAGATTCAGTAATCAGCTTTTTTCCTGACCATTGCCAATACAACTTGTAATCAACCACCCTAAACAATGACAAATATCCATAACCCATTGAACTACCAAATACCACCCACATCACCTGTTGGGATTGTGGACATCATGTTCTTAAATTTACTTCTTGCTTTCTGGGGGTGATGGCATCTTTAGGGGGCCCTGAACTGAAAAATTTGGGTTAATTGTCAAGTCCTGAGAGAGATAACTGCATTATTTGTTGTCTAGTCTCTGTGTAATGGGGAATTGCATGGTTTGTCTCATATCCTGGTGAGGCTGTACCATCTCAGCTAGCCACCTCAAAATTGTCCTGAGAAGTTTGTAGTGCAAAGCCAATCTTTGAGTAGTGTTTGTTAGCTTAACAATGTTATCATAGTCCATGTGTAATCATTGTGGGGGCCCATCATCCTTTTGGGGGACTTCAAGAGTAATTGTTAGGGGTGTTCATGGTTCATTGCAGAAAACTTTAACATTGTAAATATCATATACAGCAGATCTCAAAGAGGTTAAAGAATCAATATTTGTTATATACACCCAGAGTACAAAAACTTAATGACTAGTTACATGATAAAGACTCAAATCTGAAATCATGTATAGGAAGCTAGGTGAAGCCTTTTTCTAGAATCAGTTCTATATATGACCATTAATATTATGACAAAAATTAAATATATATAATCTTATAAATTTTGAGGGTAACATTTATACCTTTAGAAAAGCATGGAAGAGTCAAAATAAAACCAAAGATTAGGAAATTAGTGACAATAAAATTGCCCCTTAATTTTTTGTTTTTCTTCCATCACGTATCAGGTGGCTCTTCTAACATGAGATAAAGATTTTTTTATTGTACTTTAACAAGCATGCTTGAGTTTACAGAAGGAGAGAGCCACACTCCAACTCCAAAGGCAGCTTTAATTTTTAGTTGGGACAACAAAAAGACCATTTATATTATATGTCTGTAGAAAAAGCACAAACATTTGGGAAGATTTATGAAATTTTATTCTGCTTGAAATATAATATCTGATATGTCAATGTGCTCTTTTTCTTGGTGTTTTTTTTTTCTAGATGATTTATACTTTTTTGTCAGATTTCTCATTTGTCCAATGATCTTCAGATTCCTTAGCAGAATGTCTTCATTCTCCTGAAAAAAACAAAACAAAACCCTGCCCCAACTCTAACTTTAAGGGAGGTTCTCTTTTGGCAAGTTATATCTGATCAAATGAGAAACATTTGTTAGTTTTAAAGTTAATTTAAATTGAATGGTCATGCCGGTTGATGAACAATCACCTCTTTTAATTAAGAGGTATCTCTCATTCAAATCAAACCTTTATCAATTTTAATGGTATCCATAGCTTTTCTTTTCCTGAACAAACAAAAACAAAGCCTCTTCCCCAATTTAATACATATCCTGGTCATATTCTGAGGTCAGCACATCTTTAAAAATACAGGCTGATTTAAATCCCTTGTTTTTTCTATTATCCAATGTCTCTCTACAGCTGTCGTTCTTTTCTCATTAACATTTAGAAAATTCAAATTTAGGAAAGCATTATGCAATCTATTTCAGGAGGTCTTTATTACCCCTTTCTGTTTATTTAGCATATTCTTTAGAGTTTGATTTGATCTTTCTATGACTGCTTGGCCTGTAGGATTGTGTGATATACCTGTAATATGCTTTATATTGTAATAAGCAAAAAAAAAAAAGAACTGTTTCATTTTACCAGAGACATAGGATGGAACATTGTCAGTCTTAATTTGTACAGGTATTCCCATGATGGCCATAACTTCTAACAAATGCTTGATTACAGAATCACCCTTTTCACAACTCAAAGCAGTTTCCCTTTGAAATCTTGAATAGGTATTGATGATGTAGTATACATATTTTAATTTTTCTGAATTCTACAAAATGAAACATATCCATCTGGCAGATTTTATTCCTTTGAGTACCCTTTGGGTTACATCCTGTAAGTAATGGGGTTTGGTTGTATGAAGAACAAGTAGGATATTTTCTAATAGTTTCCCTGGCTTTTTGCCAAGTGATCGAAAAATCTGTTTTCAAACTGTTGCTATTGACCTGGTGTTTTTTTTATGAATGTATAGAGGGTAAAATAACCAGTATGCAATTGAGCTCTGGATCTAAATGATTCACATGAGCATCCTGGAATTTCTTTTCCACCAAAGCCAATTCTCTTTTAGCTTCAGCTAATAATTCTCTTGAACTATTTAAGTCCTCTCCATTTAACATTTTGAATAAATTAATCTGTTCTTGGTTTTATACTCCAATAGTGGGCTATAGTTACAAAATGTCTCCTAGCAATCTTTGAAGGTCAATAAGAGTCCACAATTGCTCTCTTCTAATTTGCACCTTTTGGGACCTATTTTTTATAAACCTATTTTATATCTTAAATAATTAATAGAATCTCCTCTTTGCATTTTTTCAGGAGCAATTTGTAATCCCCAACAAGACAAAATTGTCTTTTCTTCAAGCATTTTCTCAAAAGTATCTACATTTGAATCAGCTAGTAAGACATTGTCCATGTAATGGTAAACTATAGGTTGAGGAAATTGCTTACATATAATTTCAAACAGCTGCTGTACAAAATATTGGCACAGGGTGGGCCTATTTAACATTCCCTGTGGGAGAACCTTCAATTGATATCTCTTAACAGGCTGAGAATTATTATAAGTAGGCACCAGAAGGTAAATTTTTTCTCTGCATTTTTCTTGTAAAGGTATAGTGAAGAAACAGTCTTTTAAATCAATAACTAAAGAGGCCATCCTTTAGGTAACAAAGAAGGCAAAGGAATTCTACACTATAGAGAACTGATTGTCTGAATCACCTTATTAACAGCTCTTAGATCTGTTACCATTCTACATTTTCCAGATTTCTTTTTAATAATGAATACAGGAGAATCCCAAGGGCTGGTCAATTCCTCAATATGTTGAGCATTTAGCTGGTCCTGTACCAACTGGTCTAAGGCCTGCAGTTTCTCTGTTGCTAAAGGCCACTGCTCAACCCATACAGGTTTGTCAGTCAACCCTCTTAAAGGTAGGACTGTTGGTGCCTTTGAAAGATCAGCAACTGTTGTGCCCTGTTCTTGTACAACCTGAATGGTCAGTGACTATTCTTGATAGTACCTTTTAATATTTTCCCCAGAAACATAAATTTATGGATTGTTTCTGAGATTGGAGGAATGTTAATCTGAGTATTTTATTGCTGTAACAAGTCATGTCCCCATAAATTCGTTGCTATGATAGCATATGGCTTTAATTTTCCTCTCTGTCCTTCTGGCCCTTTACATTTGACCCATCTCTTGCTCTGTTTTACCTGAGATAACTTTCCAATCTCTAAAATCTGAACATTTACCTCCTGAAGAGGCCAATTTGGATGACAAGATTCTGGTGAAATTATTGTCACATCTGCACCTGTGTCTACAGACCTTCAATGACAACATCATTTATTCATATTTTTAATTTTGGTTGTTCATTTTTATAGAAGTTTACAAAAATTTACTTTATGGTTTCTCCTGAACTTTTTGTTCTCTCTTCTATACCTGTTTTATAATCCAGAGCAGTATGGTGACCTTGTTTACCACAATTGAAATATTTGACATTTTGATTTTTCTTCAAACCTCTGGAAAGTACCTCTCCTATCCAAGCACCATCATGGTTATGAGATTTAATATTGATTGTATCATAGATCCATTCCTCCAAGGGTGCTGATCTTGCTTTAATGGCCTAATTACCCTTTTGCATTGTGCATTAGCATTTTCAAAAGATAGAGATTTGATTATTATTTGTCTAGCTTCTGAATTTGTATCATTCTATTTACTGCTGAAGTCAATCCTTGTAAGAAAGCAGCAAAGGTTTCCTTTGGGCCCTGCAAGACTTTAGTGAATAGTAAATAACACAATTTTCTTTCCTTCTTCAATTCTGTCCCAAGCATTCAAGGCTGCTGCATGGCATAAAGCCAGGGTGTGGTCATCATATAGATTGCCTTTTTACATGAGCATAATCTCCCTCTCCAAGAATTTGGTCTTTGGATATTTCCATACCTCTCACCCTACTTCATTGTTCAATGGTCTTAGCCTCATCTTTCCACCAGGTCCTCTATTGTAATTGAGGACCAGCCTCCAACATGGCTGTAACAAAATCTCTCCAGTCTTGAGGGATAATTCTATTACAAGTTGACCATAAGTTTAACTTCTGCTTCATAAAAAGTGAATGCATACCAAATGAGACTATCACTTCCTTGAATGTCCTCCAATCTAACATTTGCACAGGAGTCCATTAGGCTCTTACATAGTCTGGGGGACATGTATCATTTGGCAGTTTCTGTAAGGTTACTGGATAAATTAATGTTGGCTGTTTGAAAGCCTTAAGCTGTTTCTCTGGAACCTTATAATACAATGCTGATATTTGTTCTCTTTTAAATTTCTCTGTCTGGGTCTAAATATCTCTATGACCTATTTTAACAAGTTTTTCTAGAACTTTTATCTTGGCATTCTTATTGTCCAACTTTTTTAATGAAAAAATAAAAATGATCAAACAAATATTTATAATTGACATATATATCCCATCTATATTAATTATCATCTCATTTAATTGCTCCATTTCAAACTGCCTAGCATATTATTACACAGAGACTTAACTCCTCCCTCCATTGTAATAATGTTTCCCATTTTTTTTAATTTGAGCAAAACTCTGTCTTTTCTTTTGATTATTATTTTTTTTTTACTAATTCACCCTTTTAAGATGTCCCAATTGGCTCACCAAATCTGCTGACAATGATGGTTCAGATGACAGTGAACTGAGTGTGACCACATCCTTAGGAGGGTCAAGGGAAATCCACAAACTACCAGGAAAGGGAAGAAGCCAAAGAGCCAGCCATCTGCATTTGGGAATGTGGGAAATGGGCTAACTGCTATGGCTTTTGGAGCTCAAAAGCCTGTGGAGTCTACTGCACAGAGGTTACAACAGAAAAAAGTTCCAGACTCCCTCAGAGGGCTTGGGAAAGAAAAGAAAAATCTAGCCAGCAGGTTAGTGACTCCAGTCTCGTGTAGCTCTGGCCTGAGCTGGTGGCTGCAAAGCCACAGCAAGTGGCTTTTTCATGAATTTGTGCTGCACAAGTTGGACACCAGATGTAGCATAAATTCTAATTGGTCTTAATAAAAACCCAGAGCCAAATATCAGGGTAAATTCTGAAAGATCACGGAGACAAAGAAACAAGCCACAGTCATCTCTCTCCTCACCAACTCCTAAGCCAAAAGGCACTATGCTCCTGTCTCCTCCCGCATTACATTACTTTTCTACACCTAGCCATATCACTTCCTGTCTCAACCTCTCTAGTGCTGGGTTAAAGGTGTGTGCCACTACTGCCTGGCCTCTGTGGCTAACTAGTGGTTGGCTTTGTCCTCTGATTTTCAGGCAAGCTTTATTTGTTAAAGCAAACACAAAATATCACATATATGTTAGTTGTGCTTTCAGAGATTAGAATATGGAGGTGCCAATTGTTCATTTTGTCTTTGTGAAGATTCAGTTATTTAAAGTTTAGACTCAGGTCTGCCTCTTGTGTCTCTTTTTATGTTTGATATTCTTTCAGTTTTACCATTATCTACATTTTCACTACCTCCACAGTTCTTTAGACAATGTTCATCTATGTGCTTCACTGTTCTATCCAGCCATACATGACTTAAAAAATTCCTTCCTGTTTTAAGAGCAAAGGACCTGAACTACATGCTCATATGCACAGATAGTATACATTGTGTAACTGGCTATTCACATAAGATTTTTTTAAGAATTATTTATTCTTGGACTTTTTTTGATGAGTTTAATAATAATTTTTATTTTTGAAATTAAAATGTATTTACAGAATTTTCCCCTTTCCTTTACTCCCTTGCATACCTCTCATGCCCTCCTCCATTTTGCTCTTTCTCAAATTCATGACTGATTGATTATTGCATAGTTGTCTTTTGACCCAAATATATATCTAATAAAACCTTTTGATAAAAGTCATAGTAAAACAAAACAAGATCTCTTCGTGCTGTACACATCAGAGTTTTCTTATTCATTATGAACTGTTTCAAGCAACTGGTATAATGATAAAATATACCCTGCCTATATATTTATTTTTATGTTTATGAGTGCTTTGCTTGCATTTGTGTATGTGTATGCCATCTTGGAGTCCCTATGGAATTCAGATCCTCAAGAACAGTAGTTGTGAACCATGATGGTGTATTGGAAATCAAACCTATGTTCTTTGTAAGAGAAGGTAGTGCTCTTAAATGCTGAGTCATTTTCTCACCCCAATATAAGCACTCATGCTTACTTATCAGGGCCATGGCTACCTAATACAGCTGGTCAAGTAATTAATCAGACTCAGGTTGGAGCGGCCACAGCAAGACCAAGGCTGTAACCATTTTATTGACAGCGGATCATTTTTATAGCCTTATCAGAAACAATATAGTGGCAATTGTCAGGATCAATTCAGTAATAGCTGCCAGGATACAGTGACATTTGCAACTAATGCAGGAAACACAAGATTAATGTCTAAGACTAGTCATCGTATCAAGCTTCCATGCTTCCTTGATTTCTAAGTGAACATACAGAGAAACACAAAGTGTAGCTAGAGTTTTCCTGCCTGGCCCACAGTCAGGACAAATCTCTCTCACCCGCCAGTCCCAAGCCACTCAAACCCGACCAAGTAA